GTGGCGCCGTCGATCCCGCGCGAGTTGACGCCGAGTCCGCCAAGACGAAAGTCGAGCACCGCCCCGGCGGGCGACGCCGCTATCGACATCGTCCGGCCCTCGACGGACTTGGCGGCGACGGCTTGGCCATTCGCTGGATCCGCCGAGGACTCGAAGCGGAACGTCGCCGCCTGGGCCGCGATCGGTAGGTCTATCGCTTGAAAGGCAGTAAGAGCCAGGAGAGTTACATACCAGCGCACCGGCGCACCGCTCGTTGTTGAAGGACAGCGGCAAGGGTCGATGCGACCCTACCGTTTGGAAAGGAGAAAGGCCGGCGGCGTCTGCGTGACGCCGCCGGCCTCGTGTTTCGTTCAACGCACCGACTAGCTGCGACGGGCGCCGGCGAAGGCCCCCAGGGCGATCATGCCCAGCACCGCGGCGGTCGGTTCGGGAACCAACGTGCCCGGGGGCGAGGCGATCGCGAACTGGCCCTCGTCGTTGGACAGAGCGCTCTGGAACGCGCCGGACGAGTTGCCAATGGTGCTGAAGCCGCCGACGAGAACGTCCCACGACTGACCGCCGTTGAGCGACGCGTCGTCGTACTCTTGGGCGTCGACGATGTCGTCGATGGTCGGCTGCGCTACCGAACGGAAGATCGCAACGCCGTCGCCGCCCTGGCCGAGGCCCGAGCCGTCGTGGATGCCGATTTGCAAGCTGCCGGCGGCGAGGCCCCAGACGCTGAGGAACTCATCGATGGCGGCCGCGTCGCCATTCACGTAGATGACCGCCTCGCCGGGAGCGATCGAAGGGATGCCCGACATGGGGTCGGCAGCGGACGCGTCGAACGAGCCATCATCGAACCAGAGGCCGCCATCGACGGCTTCGACCCAGGCGGTGTCACCCATGTTGGTGATCTCGACCCAGTCCTCGGTCAGATTGGAACCGGGCTCGTTGCCCATCCACATCTCGGTGATCTTTAGGTCGAAAGCCGCCGTAGCGGGGGCGGCAAGCGCCAGCAGGGCACAGGTGAACAGCGAGGTGATCTTCATTAGACATACTCCGAAGGTGAGAGCGACTCGCCATTGCGAGCCTCATTGGCGCGACCTAATCGGTGGTCGAGCCGCGGAGTATGCCGAGCTATCCCCTGTGGCTGATGAAGGGCGAGTTAAGAGCGGCAGATTTCACCGATTCTTCATCGCTTACTAACAAAGCAAGCGTCAACCCAAACTAATTGCTAATCCTCCGATTAACCACAGAGCCACCGAGGGCGCTGAGTAAGCACAGAGGTATCTTCTCGGTGCTTTCCTCAGCGCCCTCGGTGGCTCTGTGGTTTTACTGAAGGTTGCCATCTAAA